GCTCCGATGTCTCAGATGCCCGCCGGATTCGCTTCCACAGAGGCCTAGTCGCCAGCCAGCAGCGCGATTCCCGCCGCCGCTAACGGAAATGCAGCCCGCAAAGTGCCGCCCCTCGTGAGGCTACTTCCGGCTCGGCCTCCGCCCCGGAGTTCCGGGCCCTGGTAGCAGTTTAGGGCGTGGAAAGGTGTTGACTGCGGCCGGTTTGTTTGGGGTTTTGTTTTTGTTTTGATTTTTTTGGTGTGTGTGGTTTTGGTTTTTTTTTTTTTTTCTTCGTTTTAATTTTATCGAGCTCTCCCTCTCGTTTTGTTTTGTTTTAGAGACTGTGTCGCCCAGGCTGGTCTTAAGCTCCGATCCTCCTACCTATAGCATCCTTAGTACCGACGCGGGCGTACACCATCATATTTGGTAATAAACATCAAACTGAACGCCCTTGAAAGCATTGGATCCTCGTTGGACACACACCTTCCCAACTTAGTCTCCGCGAGGGTGGCGTGTTTCTCTCCCCGGAACCCCTCCCCTACTCCAGTTCTTGAACCCAGCGCTCTCGTGAACTCACTCACAGAACTCACTCTTACTGATTTTCCCCTAAGGCTTGAAATGTTCTTTCATCTGTACCTTTGCATTTGCTTTTGTCTCGCCCTTTCCTCTTCATGTTTAGACTGAAATAACACTGTCCTGGTGAGGACTTCCCTGATCGTCCTTTCTCTTTATAGATAGGTAGGTAGATAGATAGATAGATAGATAGATAGATAGATAGATAGATAGATAGATAGATAAGAAACGAGTCCTTCCCATTTTTTGTCTTTAATATTGATTGCTATCTGACATGCTAAGCGGTAGTCCCCTCATTGTTGGAGGGGTTACCTTCCAAGACTCCCAGTACCTTCTCCGAGTCACAGTACCAAACCCTGAATATGCTGTATTTTTTCTACATATGTATACTTCAGTGAACTTGTGCTTTTCCACTTAAAGAAAGCATATTTGGGTACCTTTGAATTGCCGGCATCACTAATTAAGTGCTTTAGGACTATTAACAAAACAAGGACCACCTGAACACAAACACTGCAACGCAGGTCAGTTGATCTGATGATCCCTCTAGCTACCGAGAGGGTAGCGTATGCAGTGTGGAAACCTACACAAAGGGAAGATTTGTGGTTAGGGCAAAAATATGGTATTTCCTCATGCTAGTCACAATGGTGCATGACTTAGAACATTAAATGCTTAGTTCTAGAATTTTCCATTTAATATTTTCAGACCTATAGACTGGGATAAGAGATGATTACTGTCTATATTCTTAAGTTATTTTATTACCCCATTAGAATGTAAGCTCCACTAGAGTATAGTGTTTTATTTGCTTAGATCACTGCTTAGCATAAAGGCTCAATAATTGTTTGCTGAATGAATTAATCTTATTCTGCTCAGTGACTTCTAACTGTTGTTTATATGCCCAGGAGTTTGTAATTTATTCCTCTAACCTTGTTTTTGTTTTTTGGTTTTTTTTCCTAACTTTTGGTCTTTTATGTAAAGCCACTTGCTTAATTGCTGTCCAATGTTGAGAACTGAATTCTTAGCCTTATTACTCTGCCTCCAAACCACTTCCTTAATTAAGAAAACAAGCAATGAGCCGGGCGTTGGTGGCGCACGCCTTTAATCCCAGCACTTGGGAGGCAGAGGCAGGCGGATCTCTGTGAGTTCAAGGCCAGCCTGGTCTCCAGAGCGAGTGCCAGGATAGGCTCCAAAGCTACACAGAGAAACCCTGTCTCGAAAAACCAAAAAGAAAAAAAAAGAAAACAAGCAATGGTGCTAGGAATATGTCACGTTTGGTGGAGTGCTGTGTAGCCCAGACAAAGCCCAGGTTCCGTCTCCAGCACCACTTAAATGGGGTGTGGTAACATATGCCTATATTCTTAGCATTCAGACAGTGTGGTGGGCACACCAGGAGTTGGAAGCCAGCCTGGACCACACAGGCACCTGTCTCAAAAGCAACAGCAGCAAAAACAGAATAAAGTAATGAGAACATGAAGTATAGCTAATTCCTTTCTTGTCTTTCATAATCTAGCTGTCAGCAAATCATATGGGCACCACATTCAAATTTCTTGAATATAACTATTGTTATTTGTTCCATGGCTGGCACCACTAGTTCTAGCCTCCAGCATCTCTGACTTGGATTACTAAATGGGTCCGTTTGTTTTGTTTTGTTTTGTTTTGAATTTTTGAAATCCTCAGACTTTGCCTTGGGCAACTAAATTTATTAGCAAGAAAACCTTTGTCAGCCCATCACTGACCAACAAAATACATCGTTAATGAAGGATAACAAATCTGTCACTTAATTAATAAAAAATAGCTTGGGCTGGTCTTGAATTCAAGTACTACCGCCACAGGGTTTTTCTGTAGCTTTGGATCCTATTTTGGAACTCCCTCTGTAGACCAGGCTGGCCTCAAACTCAGAGAGATCCACCTATCTCTGTCTCCCAAGTGCTGGGACTAAAGGCATGCACCATTACTCTCCAGCCAAATAAATATTTTCTAAAATGCTTCAACAAATTGTGCATCTGGTGACTGGGTAACCTGGTTGCAACTAAACAGCTGAGTCAGAGGCACCAAACTATATTTTCATTCTGATTCTGCAACCTTGGGCATGCCAGTTCATCTTGCTGGGCCTCCATGTCTCTGTCTGTAGGTTGATAGGTATGGGACAATGGAAATATCTCTTAGAATGGTGTGTGTGAAGAGGGCATAGACCTGAGGTGGTAGCATTTCCTTGCTAGGTCTGAGAAGCAGACCAGAAGTGCAAACTGGAGACTGACTAATGGGGCAGGCTGCTGAAGGAGATGGCATTGAGGAGAGTGCAAGCTGAAATTTCCCCCAGGAGTCCCAGGAAGTCAGTGGGAGGTAGACAGCAGAGTAAGCCATCCTCTGAGAGAATCCCAGTATATTTTAGAAAAGAATCCCTCTGGCTGCAGTGAGAGCAAGATAAGGCAAAGGGGCCAATTAAAAGGACTCATTTAGAGTGGGACAGGGGTGGCACTATCTCGCAGAGATCCGCCTGCCTCTGCCTCCCGAGT